TTAATCATACCTGAAAATTTCAAATCTCTATTTTGCGTAGTATTCTCAATGAAGGACGGACAAAAATTGTAGAAATTACGTCATATTTCACGACCGGAAGTAAAATTAGAAAAAGTGAAGGTATTGGATTGAGCCATAAATGTTTCCTTTTATCACCGAAAGTTTCATATAGATCCACTGTACCGTTACTGAGATATCAGTGTAGGAAAAAAAATAATAATAAGAACTAGAAACTCTTGTTGCTACAGCAACAAAGAAGGTCTTCCGTTCTCCTCTATTAATCTGTATGCAGGATGTTTTTTTTTTTCTATTTTAAAAAAGACAGACATATCTTAAACTAATAGACTAATTGTTCAGTGAATAATTATCTTTCTTTCCACCTTTTTAAGCATTTCAATATTATTTGGGCTGAAGAAAGTAGAAAAAAAGCAAAAAAAATAAATAAAACAGCAAAATTCTCATTTCTCTACAAGGATTTTAGATCGGGCTCGCAGTTGGTATAAATATACTCTAAACAGACTTCCTGGATTATACGAGTCGACTCGGGGATAACCAGGAATTCATTGATCACGCAAAGAGAGCACGTTCAAAACATTGTAACACGCTCCTAGGTGTATATATATGAGCTTGAATGAGATTGTTTTCGAGTTAAGATGTAAGGGGTAGGGTCTGATTAAAATTACGATATACCTAATAATATGAATAACATTCATTTGATCTGCGCATCAAGACGGAAGCGTAAGTGAAAACGTTGTGAAATGTCCCATGTGTACCTGCGTCATATGCATTATACATGTATTAAAGAGATGATTGAAAATATCCGATTTGAGTTGTTTTATGTTTGAAATGGATGGCGATAAATTATTTAAGAGCATGTGAGAAACATGAGCGAGAGATGCAAGGCAGTTTGTAATTATGGAAAAGGAAAATAGAGAATCGGGTTCGGGTTTTAACACTCCTGACCGAAATAGGCATGAAATTCAATGTAAGTAGCATAAATAACATTCCAAACATGTAATTCTAGATGGGAAACACAGGGAAGAAACGTGTATTTCTTTTTACTATGCTGGAAGTCGCTATTTCTTGGGATTGTGTTATTCTAGAAAAAAAAAATCAAATTTCAAATGAAATCAAGATTCATTCTATTAATATTAAATCCGAATAAAATTGAAATAAATTCCATACACTAAAGAAAGCAAGAGTACTTGGTATTAAAATGTCGTAATAGAGCAGGAGAATCGAATGATATTAACAAAAATTGCAAAAATAGCCAATACGGGCTTTAATTAATTTTTATGCTCAGCAATACAAAATTTCAGACAGAAAAAAAATGCAGATTTTGCCGATTTTCCCTAGAATTTCATTATATTTTAGAGACTCACCTTAAAACTCTCAGGACACTTTCTTTAAGGTCTTTTCTTGCTTTTACTACGAATCTTATGTCGATTTATTGTGTCGTTTGACTTGTAGACATTTTCTCTATACTGCTGTTGATTTTTTTTTTTTAACAAAGAAGGGGGGGGGGGATATAAGCAATTGTTAGAGTAAGAGTTGCAAATACCTCAACGACATTAAACTTGATTGTGACCTTTGGATCAATAGGGGGTCATTTATCAAGGTCAAGGTCATCCAAAAAAAAGAGAGAGAGATAAACTTGAGATTAACACTTGAAGCTGAATCTGGATAAAAGTGATGAATATTTCTTTATTTCTTTTTGAGTAAGGGGTCAAAGGTCAAGGTCAAATATCAAGGTCAAAGGTCAAGGTCATTTGGATTTTAAGCTTAAATCGACAATTTCTCTAGTTTTCCAATGACCTTGACCTACTCTTCAAGGTCATAAGTCAAAACATCTCATGTAGTTGTGAGTCATGGACATTTTCTCTACACCACGCCGTTCCAAGCGAGGTAACTCCAATTTATCTAAGCTATCTAAATTGCGTAGAAATTGATTTGGTAGGGAATAATCGCTATTTCCTAGATTCATTCAATTAATATTCAATGTAAATAAAATTGAAATAAACTCTACATACAAAGGAGATCAAGAATACTTGGTATTACAATTTCGTATTTGAGCAGGAGAATCGAATGTAATTGACAAAAAGTGAAGAAATACCCAATGCAAGCTTTAATTAATTTTCGTGCTCATCAGCACCTAAATTTCAGACAGAAAAAAATATAGTTGTTGCCGATACTCATTAGAATTTCATTATATACTTCAGAGACTCACTGTTAAACACTCTGGACACTTTCTTTGATGTGTCTTCTACTGCAATCCTTAAATTTCATGTCGATCTGTGGCGTCCTTTGAACTGTAGAAATTTTTTTTAGGTTCCTATCGATTTACAAAAAAAGGGGGGGGGGTATATAAGCATTTGTTAAAGTGAGAGATGTAAACATTCCCACAGACTCAAGCTTGATTGTGACCTTTGGGTCAATGGGGTCAAAAGTCAAGGTCATTTATCGAGGTCAAAGGTCAAGGTCATTCAAAAACCTTTTAAACTCGACTTTAACACTTGAAGCTGTATCAAGCTAAATATATAAAAAAAAAAAATAACTCTTGGGTAAGGGTCAAGGTCAAACATCAAACTCAAAGGTCAAGGTGATGTGGCATATATAAGCAATTTAAATACTTTTCCAATGACCTTGACTTTTTGACCTTTGGTGTTGTTTTATTTCTTATAATTGTAAGTTTTCGCTGTTTTTATTTTTTTATTTATTTTTGGTGGAGCTGACATATTTTAAAACTCCTAAATAGATGCGATAAAGTAATGAAAAAAAAATTGGAAAGAAAAAATTTGGAATTTTCGATTTTTCAAATCACATCCTGTAACGACCGGAAGTGACGGCGGAGACATTTATCCCTATATCTGTTGTTCACTCTTCAAGGTTTATTATTCATATAAGTTAAGTTATGTTAACTACTCAGTTGGAGGATAGGAAATCATGAGACCGGAAATCAATTTTTAACAGATATTTCTAGTTACTCTAGACATTTGCAGTCTGAATTACATGTTCTAAAATCATTTCAAATACTCTTTCTATAAAAGATATTTATGGGATAGTATGATACTCAATTTATGCAGTTTTTCTCTCATAACCGGAAGTTGCCGTTTTTGTTTCTGGTGGGACGGACATATATCAGAACAACCAATAATATGCAATAATGTGATGCCGAGAAGTATTCCAAAAAGAAAAGCTTAAATTTCTGATTTCTTTTATCATTTCCTGTGACGACCGGAAATGACGGCAAACGATCTTAACCCTAATGAGTTTCCTAACTTATCAAGATCTATTACTCATTCAAGTTTGGCGTCTCCATCTCTTACCGTTTCCAAGATCTCTTTGTGATAACTTCTCATATTGAGGACAAAAAATCACGCGACCGGAAGTGAATTTTACAAAGATATTTGAGGTTACTGTAGACATAAGCAGTCTATATAACATATCTAAAAATCACTACAAATACTTTATGTATAAAAAATATTTATGGGAAATAAAAATACACAAATTATGTAGTTTTTCCTCTTATAACCGGAAGTTGTCATTTTAGTTTCCGGTTGGACTGATATATTTCAAAAATACAAATAAGATGTTATAATGTGATGCAAAAAATGTTTCACGCAAGAAAAGTTAAAAATTTTGATTTTTGGATCACTTCCAGTGACGACCGGAAGTGACGGCGGACGATCGTATTCCAACTGAACTTGCCTACTTATCAAGATCTACCAACTGTATAAGTTTGGTGTCTTAAACTCTTATCGTTTACGAGATCTAGCTATGATAACTTCTCATTTTGAGGACAGAAAATCACGCGACCGGAAGTGAATTTTACAAAGACATTTGACGTTACTGTAGACATCTGCAGTCTGAATAAGATATCCAAAAATCATTTCAAATACATTACGTATAAAAAATATTTATGGGAGAGAAAAATACTGAAAATATGCAGTTTTTCTCTTATAACCGGAAGTTGTCGTTTTTGTTTCCGGTGGGACTGATATATTTCGAAACTACAAACAAGATGCTATAATGTGATGCAAAAAAAGTTTCAAAAAAGAAAAGTTGAAATTTTCGATTTCTTTGATCACTTCCTGTGACGACCGGAAGTGACGGCAGACAACCTTACCCCGATTGGTTTTGCCTACTTATCAAGATCTATTAATCATATATGTTTGGTGTCTTAATCTTTTACCGTTTCTGAGATATGACTCGGACAAAACTTTTTTGAAAAAAGCGGAAATTGGACATATCTGACGACCGGAAGTGACTTTTGAAAAACTGAAAACTGCATCTGAAAGATATTTTTACTTTCCATCATCCCTGAAAATTTCATGAGAATCCGTCCAGTCATCTCTGAGAAATCGTCAAAACAAAAAGGGAAAAAAATAATAATAATAAGAAAAAGAAAAAACAGTAGAATCACTATAAGGTCTTCCGTCTGAAACGGAAGACCTTAAAAAGAAACATTACAATAATAGAAGGGTCTTCCCTTGGAGACGGAAGACCCTAATAATAAGAAACAGAGTAAAAACAATATGTTCCCCAACTTCGTTTGGGGAACATAAATATCTTGTGGATACTAAAGTCGTCGGTCTTAAAGGTGTTATATTAAAGGTTTCAGGGTTACAATGAAGTTGCTTTCCATTTCAAATTTTCTGACATTTTATCAAAAATTTAACTTAAGTTATAGGTTCTGAAATTTTGTGGATGGGGTACTGGGGATCACTTACCACTTCTATGAAAAAATGGTGATGCCTGATGGTACCATCCCTAGATTCCGAGATATGGCCCTCCAGTTTTTAGCCCTACTACATGTATATAATACTATACGAATAAACATCGGGCTCGGGGACATCTAAGTCCCCTACCCCAGGGTCTGAAATTTTGTGGGTGGGGCACTTGGCTCCAGAATGGGAGAGGATCGTAAATTTTGGCCGAGGTTTGCGACGATGGTATTTTCATCGGGTTCGAGGTGTTTATGTTCATTGAAGAAAGTGAAAGTAGAAACCAAAATATTTTGCATGCTTTTTCTGCGGTGTCGATGTTTCATGCAGTTTAGTTCTTGTACACGATTTATTTCTTTACGCTTATATAGGATAAATAACTGTGGGAAAAATTCCATCTCTCAACTTTTAAGTGCTATGGCAACAAATGACACTGCACCAAAGGCATCAGGTGTTAGGGCCTATTCGGCAAAGTTTGAGAAAGAAGAGGTTTAGTGCATTTTCTCTTTTCTGTAAAGAATTTTCATTTATAGTTATTCTTTTACACAACTTTGTAACTTTTTACTTTTTTTATCTAAATAGCTGTCTCTTAAAACTACATGTATAATACGTGTATCATACTGTCGTATACAGCTGATATATAGCGTATCTGAGCTGAAAAATAAAGATACATGACGTATTGTGTCTGTACGAAATTGAGTGTAAAAGAACATTTTATTTGTTATTTAATTTCAAATTTAAACTTTGATCGATTTCATCCAATATCTATGAAACACGATTGATTTTAAATTTGTGTAATTCTAGGAAAGCCCTATCTTCATATAAAGTATAATTATAAACATGATAAAGTAAATAGAAAGATCTTTTTTTTAATTTTAATTAGTCTGAACTTATAAAAAAAAACGCTATACATTTATATAACTTAGTCTTTAACAACTGTACATGTGCATAAGAAAAAGTATCTGTACTTTGTCCATTACTTAAACTATTATTTCATTCATTTTACAGGAGATTGCAAGAGGAAAATGGTTATCATTAAATAATATTACATACAGAGATCCAGCTGGTAAAGAAAGGTACAGTGTATCGTATTCCAAATAATTCTTAAGTCTATGTTAGATATGCAACAACCAAAATAAAATTGATTAATCCTTTTTTCAAATCATTGGCAAACTTAAGATTGAACTGCAAGTTCTATTTAATTATCCAAGATGAAGATATTGAGATGTTTTATAAAAATTCTATCCATTTCAGAGTTAACCTGTAAATTCATTATTTGTACAGGCTCTGGGAGAGTGTCAAAAGAACAACTCGCCATTCAGGATCTGCAGATGGTATTGTGAGATTTTTAGAAAGGCATAAATAATATAGTTTTCATCTTTTATTTTAACATTCATTGTATATTAGATATAAGTGTTCAAATATTTGAAGGATCTTTGTGTGATTTTATGATGACAAGTATGGACTTAATTGTTAAAAACTAATTAGTTTTAGGATATTATATTTATATTATTTTAAATGTTATACATATTGTATCTTACTTTTTACAAGTTTAAATTTTCATTTGTATTGTCAACAGCTGTTGGTGTGATAGCAATCTTGAAGCGGATGTTGAAGTTTGATTGCATCGTTTTGGTAGTTCAGTACCGCCCTCCCATGCAATGCTGCACTGTGGAATTCCCAGCAGGTAATTTACAATAAATTATATCATACCTGTAAAACTTTTACATGAGTATAGTGATGTCATTTTCTTAAACATAACTTTCATGTACATGAAGCTGGCTGTAAATTCTGCATTACCTGCAGCTGAAGGACTTAATGGTTAATTTGAACCTGTATATATAATGTATTTTAAAATTCCTGTAAAACATAAACTTTAGGGTCTTGTAGTCCAACTCACATTTGATACATGTTGTTTCTGATAGCTCAGATAGTAAAAGAGCTGCACTGTCTGCAGGAAACTCCTTGACTTGTGTCCACTCATCTGTTAAGGTCATCTTATTTTATACAGGACTGGTAGATGAGGGAGAGTCCCCTGAAGTAGCAGCACTGAGAGAATTGTATGAGGAAACCGGATACACAGCCTCTGTAAAACATGTAGCCCCAGGTATATATGGTCTATCACAATGTAATGGTTTGGACCGTGGATATCAGTCTGGATAGCTCAGTTGGTAATGTGTCTGACTTGAGATGCAGGGGTCCCGGGTTTGATTCCCGGTCCAGTCAAGCATTTCTCCTTTCCTATTGTGATGGCACCAAATCTGCAACAGTAAAGGAGAAAATGCATGGCTGTCCTGGGAATCGAACCCAGCACCCTTGCATCTCCAGTCGAGCACTCTACCAACTGAGCTATCTAGGGTGATATCCTTGGTCCAAACCATTACAATAGATATATATACTAATTTAACATTTAAAAGTACTAGACTAGTCAGCAATGACAAATAATTTCATTCCAGTTTAATTTCTCAATTTATAAATGTACACTAACAATATTTGGGAACAATTAAAGTTAATTTTATCAAAAGAAGATATTAGTAGGTCACTGGACTTATCTTAGTGACAAGTGCTTTAGGTTTGAATGTAATTTATGGTATAATTACATTTTTTAAAAAAATTTTTGTGATGAGGAGGAAAACCGTAATTGTATAAATTTATGATATTTATCATGTTTATAGAGATTTTAGAATTCTGTTCATTATTTCATTAGATGTTTTAGAATAGTAGAATAATGAATGTTTGCTCTTTGTTACAGCCTCCTGCCTTGATCCAGGTATAGGGAATACAACAGTTCAGCTTGTGACTGTAGAGGTAGGGAAAACACTTTGTCTGTATGTATTTATCATCCCTCCCCCAATCCACCCATCTCAAACACACAAACTTCTCCACGATTTATTCTTCATGGAAGAAAATTAAGAATGACTATTCTACAAAACATGAAAAAATGAGACTTAATTAAATGATATTTAGTGCTCACACCTAAGTCAGAGAAAGAAGTCAAACAATTCTTGTTAATTTAAGTGTAAAATATTGCATAATTGTATTTTAACATTGTTTACTTTGACTAACATAGTGGGATTTCACATTAACTGCTCCTAACACAATAAACCACCACTGCAAAAGTTAATGCAAGATACATAACTCTTATCTTGCTGAAAGTACATTATATAATACAGTACTGTACCATGAATTAAAAATTTAAAAATCTAGAGGAGTCTTCCCATTACCTATCTATTTATGACTGAAGGTATGTAACTGTGCAGAATACGTATTCTGAGAGATGAGCAATCTTAATTTGGAAAAGAAATTAAATTTTGAAATAATTTTCATCCCTCTGTCTACCAAATGAATTGAAAAAATAACACAAGAAAGCTATTTTTGAAGATTTTTTTTTCTATGAAATAAATTTAAAAATATAGTAAATTTTGTTGGGGTTGAGAATTGCAATCACAATTTTTAGCTAAAAAGGATGTGTTAGCCTATATTACATGTAGCATATTGTATTGACAATTTACTTTTAAAAACTGTGGGGTTTTTTCACAGATTGATGGCAATGACGAGAAAAATGTCAATCCAAAACAGAAAACAGGTTAGCTCCTTCTTGTTGTCTCTATTATTTAATACCTGTCTAAACATAAAATCTCTCTCTTTCATTTTTATGTGCAGATCAATCAAGCAATTTTCACTTTCTCCCTCTTAAACAAAATCATTCTTTTAAAATAAATGATAAAAATTCTATGTAATTATAATTAGCAAACGTCATTATGAAAATAACAAATTGACTATGGTATTTGTTTTTTTTTTCATGAAATCCACTAATAAAAGATGAATCAGGTCAGTGTTGTTCTTGATAAAATTGAACGATTTAAAATTTTTAAGAAATATTTTTTAAGCATTAACTGATTCTGAAAATTATTATAGATAATGATTCTTTATCACTTTTGGCAATTCTTTCAAAACCATTTGTTTCATAAAAAAACAACTTCTGCATGATTATCTGTTACCAAAATATATGTACTATATATTTTAATAATCTTTGTTATTTGTACTTTGAAAAACAATAAAGTTGATTTTAAAGCAAAATATTAGTATCACGTGGACTCTTGAATTTACATTCTTAATGTAGAGTTTATAGAAGTTGTTTTGATACCACTCGAGGACCTTTTGGAAAGACTTGATGGTAAGTAGCCTGAATATTATTGAAATAAAATTCATCACTTTACTGTTAATGTGTTGGGTAATTAATTTTTTCTTCTCTCAGAATATTCCCGGACTGGACACAGTGTTGATTCACGAGTTTATTCATATGCATTAGGCCTACAGCCTAGGATATCGTAACGCTTTGTATTTTTTTTTTATATAAGATAAAATAAATTATGTCATTTGTAAAGTGACTTCAGTGTGATATATGTACAGAACTGAAGATAGATGATCATTATTGTTAATGAACAATTAACTTTTGATAATTCTTTCAATCGTTTTTTTTTAACATTAGTACATTAAAACTGTTACTGGGGAATCTAGTCTACACTGGCCATCAGAGAATAAGTCTAAAGAAAGTCTTTGCATTTTCATTTGACACATAAAAAAATTGAGAACGATTTTTAAATTCATTTCTAAAATTGATTTATGTACTATTTAGAAGGTATGGAAATTATCCATGTATATGTCGAAAAAATATTTTTGTGGGAAAACGTTGTATAAATGTTAATACAATGTACATTATATAAAAATAAAGGAAATGCAGATGATGTCAGTAACTATAGACCAATATCAGTAACATCTGTTGTTTGCAAATTATTAGAAAAAATTATTGTCAAGCATCTGCACAACTATATACTTGAGAATGATATACTATATAAGTTCCAGTCTGCTTTTCAAACTGGTGACTCAACAAGTAATCAGTTGGTGGAAATTTATAATACTATTATATCCAATCTTGATAAAGGCCGGGATGTACGGTTTGTGTTTTGTGATATTTCTAAAGCTTTTGATAGGGTCTGGCATGAAGGAATTATATTTAAACTAAAGGAAATTGGAATATCAGATCAAATCTTAAATTGGGTCAAAAACTACTTAGTAAATAGAAGACAAAGGGTGGTTCTTGATGGTTATACATCAACTCTTAGGCCAACTAGTGCAGGTGTCCCCCAAGGATCTGTCCTAGGTCCTTTCTTATTTTTATTATATATAAATGATATTTCTTCAAATTTAACAAATAATGTCCGCTTATTTGCTGATGATACTTTACTTTACATTATTGTTGACAATGACATTGTCAGTGCTGCAAACTCATTAACAACTGATTTAGAAAAGTTGGATCAGTGGTCAAAACAATGGAAAGTTGATTTTAACCCCAAGAAAACAGTGAATGTAAATTTTTCCAGAAAACATTTTTCTCATCCCAATGTTAAATTTGGATTAAATGGCCCATTGATTGAACCATCGAACAATCACACACATTTGGGACTAAATTTTCAGTGTGATGCCAATTGGAAATCTCACATTCATACATATTACTTATGAAAAAGCATGTAAACGATTAAATGTTCTACGAATGTTAAAATATTCCCTTTGTCGAGATGCGCTAATAAAAATATATATGTCATTTATTAAACCAGTTTTAGAATATGGTGATGTTGTCTAGGATAATTGTAATGAAAAGGAGTCATCTTTATTGGAAGAAGTTCAAATTACTGCTGCAAGAATTATTACAGGAATGAGAGTGAACTCATCAAGATCACTTTTATATGATGAATTGGGTTGGAATACATTATCTGACAGAAGGAAAGTACATAAATTAATATTATTTTACAAAATCGTGTATGGGTTAGCACCACAGTACCTTCAAGATCTTCTAAGACCTTGTATTCCACCCCAAACCTCATATTCACTAAGAAACAATGATGGTCTTACTTTTCTTATTTCTCAGACGAGGACCACATCATATATGAATAGTTATTTCCCATCTACAATTAAATTATGGAATAGTTTACCATACCATATTAGGAGTTTACCAACACTATCTTCTTTCATTAATGCCATTAAAAAGACTCGTTATAGAACACCCAATAAGCTTTTTAATCATGGAAATTGTAGTCAAAATATTATTCATTGTCAGCTAAGAAATAATGCTAGTAGTTTGAATGGTGATTTACTGAAAGATTATATAAGTGATAGCTCAAAATGTGAAAACTGTAATTTTCATACAGAAAATGCATATCATTTTTAGCTCACCTGAGCCGAAGGCTCAAGTGAGCTTTTCTGATCAAAATTTGTCCGTCGTCTGTCGTTGGCGTTGTCGTTGTCGTAAACTTTTCACATTTTCATCTTCTTCTCAAGAACCACTGGGCCAATTTCAACCAAACTTGGCACAAAGTATCCTTGGGTGAAGGGGATTCAAGATTGTTCAAATGAAGGGCCACGCCCTCTTCCAAGGGGAGATAATCATGAATTAGTGAAAAATTAATAGCATTTTTAAAAAATCTTCTTCTCAAGAACCACTGGGCCAGGAAAGATGAAACTCATGTGGAATTATCCTCAGGTAGTGTAGATTCAAATTTGTTCAAATCATGACCCCTGGGGCTAGGGTGGGGCCAAAATGGCCGACCAAAGTTTTACAAAGGAATATATAGGAAAAATCTTTAAAAATCTTCTTCTTAAGAACCACTGGGCCAGGAAAGATGAAACTCATGTGGAATCATCCTCAGGTAGTGTAGATTCAAGTTTGTTCAAATCATGACCCCTGGGGCTAGGGTGGGGCCAAAATGGCCGACCAAAGTTTTACATAGGAATATATAGGAAAAATCTTTTAAAAATCTTCTTCTCAAGAACCACTGGAATTGGAAAAATGAAACTCATGTGGAATCATCCTCAGGTAAAAATTTGTTCAAATCATGACCCCAGGGGCTAGGGTGGGGCCAAAATGGCCGACCAAAGTTTTACATAGGAATATGCATAGAACAAATCTTTTAAAATCTTCTTCTTCTTAAGAACCACTGGGCCAGGAAAGATAAGACTCATGTGGAATCATCCTCAGGTAGTGTGGATTCAAGTTTGTTCAAATCATGACCCACGGGGCTAGGGTGGGGCCAAAATGGCCAACCAAAGTTTTACATAGGAATATATAGGAAAAATCTTTTAAAAATCTTCTTCTTAAGAATCATTGAGAAAGGAAATATGAAACTTAAATGAAATTATCCTCAGGTAGTGTAGATTCAAGTTTGTTCAAATCATGACCCCCGGGGCTATGGTGGGGCCAAAATGGCTGACCAAAGTTTTACATAGGAATATATAGAAAAAATCTTTAAAAATATTCTTCTCAATAACAGCAAAGCCCTAATTGGTCATATTTATATGGAAGCATCCTCAGGTAGTGTAGATTCAAGTTTGTTTAAATCATGACCCCCGGGGCTAGGATAGAGCCAAAATGGCTGACCAAAGTTTTACATAGGAATATATAGGAAAAACTTTAAAAATCTTCTTCTCAAGAACCTTTGGGCCAGGAAAGACGAAATTTATGTGGAATCATCCTCAGTTAGTGAAAATTCAAGCTTGTTCAAATTATGACCTCTGGGGCTAGTTTTGGGCCCAAAATGGCTGACCAAAGTTGTACATAAGGATATATAGGGAAACCTTTTAAAATCTTCTTTTCAAGTACTTTAAAGCCATGATTAGTGATATTTTTCTATTTATATGGAATCATCTTCAGGTAGTGTAGATTGTACATTGTTCAAATCATGACACCCAGGAGGGTTAAAATTCAAGCCCCTCCCCCCCCCCCCAGTAAACTTTCAGTTTTGATCTAATATGTGCTTTTTCCTAGTCCTAGTAGATGTGCTCAGGTGAGCGATGTGGCCCTTGGGCCTCTTGTTTCTTTGAATGCCCATGTTATGTTGAGCAAAGAAACACTCTTTTTAATTGTATATCTAGTATAGACCTGCAAAATCCTATTCCTATTTCCCTTAATCTTTTATTATTTGGTGATAGTAATATTTCATATGCAAATAATATGAAATTAATTGATTGTGTTCACAAATATATATCACAAACCAAAAGGTTTCATAAATGAAGTGTAACTATGAAATACTTATTCCAGTTTATGTCCTAAATTAAATACACATTTATTGTATGTTTATAAATTGCTGTAGTTCTCATTTTTTTTCCTTCCATTTCCACATTTACAAACCGGTATTCATTTGTTGTTGTGTTTTTTTTTTTTTTTTTTTTTTTTTTGTTTTGTCTTGTTTTGATTTTTTTTTTCTTTTTCTCTCTTCACTCATGTATTTTTCTTTCCCCTTTAATCCATTCAATTGTGTCAGTTATATATAACTTATTGGTCATATATAAACCTGTTACTGTATATGTATTAATTAACCTTGTACCTATGGAGAGGGCTTATATAGGCTATGCCTGCTGCCCAATCCATTTATGTATTTTACATAATAAAATATGTTCAAATCAAATTCAAAAAGAGAAGACGGGTAGAGGTCATGCTCCTTCAATCAATGTTATCGAGAAACGCGGCGTTAAGGAGACAATTAATACCGTAAGAAATACCAGTGCAGAGGTAAATCTAGTTTACAATGGATGATTTATTGTATTTGCTAGGTATAAATCCCTCGCAAGATTATTTTCCTTCTAATGAATGTCACTGGATATGAACGATAGATCAAATGTAGACCCTTTACTTTGCAATTGTGTTAGGCTGCTATATGGCACAAACACCTGCTTTGACACGGGTCCCGGACTTGAACAGGTTTTATCCAAAAGACTTGCGACTGTAATTTAAGACCTAGTCGAAAGAACAGTTTCTAGCAATTTTTTGTTGAATGAACTTTTTTGCAGCCTGGTTGCTAAGGCAGCCACAACCTTCCGATCACCAAGCACTGGCGCTGTACTAAGCTACAATAGGGTGGTGAATCTGATTAAGAGAAGTTGAACTCCATTTGACATATAAGCCGAGGAGGACAACCTTGATACCGGTAAATAGTTAATTAAGTGGGAGAGCTTAATTCCTGTTTATTCCAATAACAGCATTGTTAAGATTACAGTTTTATTAAGTGTTCTATGTGCTGTTAAACAGAGACCAAACTTCAGAACTGTTTGTAACTAAGTGAGGTATAATGTATAAATTACAACGTGTTCTGATTTCGCAACATGCACATTTAAACATAAAACCGAGTAAAATGAATGTCAAATCATTTCCATTGTTTTGACAACTGCAGATTGGAAATAACATACACATACCACAACAAGACTGGTAATACTCGATATGTTATTGGCAAACTTTGCAAATGTATATGTGTCACAAGTTTAAATCCTTAGAGCTAAAAACTCAAGTGACCTTTTTGATAATCAGTTTTCCGGCGTACGTCTGTCTACACTAACCCTAATTCTTTAAATCTTACC